AGAAGTGATTATTTTTCTATTATGTTAATAACCAATCATCAAATAAAGATTAAGGTTTTTCTTTTCTATTTCTTCACTCAGGGACCAGTCCCTGTAGGTCATTTGGCCAATCTCTGAAGGACAAGGCTAATAGATGAGATTGGCCAAATCCCCTGGGTACATGCTCCGTGATCTTGAGTGTGATCCCACCCAACTATGGGACCTTTTTCTTGTTTACCATGTAAACAGAATCTAATCTAGGTTCATTTCATCCCTGCAGCATCAAGCCTATGCCTTTGGACCATTCTACTGAAGTTTAGGGGAACTCAGTTTGTGAAGTAGAGAATCAACCAGAGTGGTCTGGGTAGAAATAGATTCCTTTGTCCAGATTGCTAGATGCGGCTGAGTCTCATGATCAAGTCACATTCTCACCAGGAGCTGAGGACTTTTAGCCCACCTTCTCATTAATATGTCTACCTCCTCATTAATTGTTCACCGATCAGAGTTGATTTTCAACTGTCATGGGCATCTCCTTTTCCAAAGGTATTTAAACATTCACAAATCTCCATGGGTTGTCTTTGGTTACAGAGAGAAACCACTGGCCATCAATTTATTATCAGATAGCCTAATTAATAAATTGATTATTCATTACCCAGAAGCTCCATCTCTCAGGCTTTTCACTTGTCTCATTCTCAAAAGAATATTTTCCAGTAGAGGCCTTCCTCAGTTTTTCTTAACATTTCAAGGGCACTAGTGGAGGTTTGTGGCTATCAGCTTGACTGCCCTCAACCCTAACATGTCACCAACTAAAATTCCCATCATCCAATTCCTTAAAGAAATCTTTAGCTCTTGTTTTTTGAAGTTCCTCAGTTGTTACGTTCTGCAGCCTGCTCACATCCACCATGAACTTCTCCAATGCTCTCCGCAGGACATTCCTTTTTAATTCTTCAGGAGTTTTGTATTCCACATTTTATGGCCATATAGCCACAGTAATAGAATGCAGTGTTAAAAAGAAGGATATTTCCTTTCATGGAAAAGTTGGAATTGTTAAAAGAGCTTTGTTATTACATGAAGGCTATCCAGACCCCACTTCTATTTTTGTCCTACTCTGGACCCAGCTTGTTGACCATAGATAACGTCTGTCCCAGCTAAACACAGAAAGAAGAGATCTATGAGGTTGTCCATCCAAATGCATATTGTAATAGCACCAGACATTCTTTACCTACTTGGTCTTGCCTGTATGGATGGTCAGGTCAAATTCCTTTGAGTGATTACAGATCTCTTCCAGGAGACTACAATATCCTGGACAGTGATGCAGTAAACAACATGTCAACCATAAACAGACTCATTTGGAAGACTTCCCTTGTCCAATTGGTAATCATGTGTTGCCAAAACCCAGAGTTGGATTACTCCCACAATCTACCTGCTTTGTTTCAAATACATGTGCTACTGAATGGACCTGGAGAAATCCATGAAACCATGCTAAGTGGATACACACACATACATACATACATACATACATATATGTATTGTGTATAATACATTATACCTATATATAAAATACATAATGTATAATCACATAATTTCAACTGGACTTTCACTGTAGCATGGCAATCTTTTTAAATCTACCTAATCAATTTATTAGGGCAGCTGGGTGGCACAGAGGAGAGAGCATCAGGTCCTGACTCCAAGTCAGGAAAACATGCGTTCAAATATGGCCTCAGCCACTTACTAGCTGACCTTGGCAAGTCGCTTAACCCTGTTTGCCTCAGTTTCCACATTTGTAAAATGAACTGGAGAAGGATATGGCGAACCACTCCAGTATCTTTGTGACGAAAACCCCACATGGGGTCATGAAAAGTTGGATGTGACTGAAACTGAAAGATAACTACAACAAATCAGTTCATTATTTCATTCAACACAGTGGCTGTTTCAAATATTCTCATCTCTCCACAAGCCTCCCACAGAACCAAATTAAACTCAGCCTCTCAACTAATTTCATATTTTATACTCCATTGAAAAAATTGAGAGTCCTCACCAAGAGCTCTTCAAATTCCCCACCCCATCCTGTAAAAATACTTACTTGATGTAATATCCCTGCTGTCACCTGATATTTTCCCACTTCTTTGTGATTAAGTTCCTTGAGAAATCCATCTATGTTTTATGCCTCTACTTCTTCCTTTGGTCACTTCCAAACCCTCTACAGTCTGGCCTTTGCAGACCCAGGCCTGCCAGATATTTTAACATTATTACAATCATATTCCACTCCCTCTGTCCCTTAATGTAAATCTGAATAGTGAACTTTTAATGAAAAGTTTCACTCTTATTCTTTATCCTTAAACTCTTAAGTGTTGGAATTATAGGGATGAAAAAATTTTCTTATAAAAGTCAACCATTAAAGGGCTCTCCCTTTTTGATGATCAAATTCTTTCCCAATTGTCCTAAATTTTCTCCATTGCCTTTCTGGCTCTGGAATTTTATATTAATTTCTTGAGTTTAGTGTGAGCTCTTATTACCAGTGATAGAGATTGTTTTTTCTTGTATAAGTGAGGCACACCCCATTGATGATAAGTATTTCTCCAAGTGTTCAGTTCCAGGCACAGCAGTCTATAAACTCCTGGCAATCTTGCTCTTCTCCTACTGCCTCAATAAGATCTGAAAAAAGGCCTTCAATTTGCGTTTCAACTTCTACAAGCTGAGCTTTTCTTTTCTGCTATTTTCTAGTTGGCACTTATAGCTTTCACAAAAATGAAATTTTTGTCTCAATCCCTGTTTAAATAGTTTCTAGTTCCATCTTCCTGCTGCTGGAATATCAAAAATTAGAGCTTCTCATTAGGGCTTAACATTAGTTGCACTTTTACATTTCTTACTTTCTAGGGTCAAGAGCATATCTATTGTGCAGGTCTTACGTTCCAATCAAGCCTAAAGTCTACACTGTCTCAGTTGAAACTATCTCTAAATTCTTTTAATTCTTTTTCCTGTTCTGGACTCTGGTTAACCAGACTGATTTTATTAAAAATTGCAAATTGAATTTCTCTTTGTATCGATTCAATATTTCATTTTCCTAATGACACTGTAGTTCATTTTTTTATTTTTATACTTCGTTGAAATAATAATTCAAACATTCCAATTGTATTGCTAGATCCAATTTCTTCTTTATCATTGAATCTCTTTTGAAAATTGGCACACTATTTTTCCTGTTTCACAAATCTGTTGCATTAACTTTCTTCAACTGGGTGATTGATCACATGTCATACTTTTAGGTTTATAGACATTCTCCTTTTGTCATCAGAAATATTTTCTGTTTTTTTCTCTTTTAAAAATTAACTAATTAATTATTTTTTAGTTTTCAATATTCACTTCCCCAGTTTTTTTTCTTAAGACTACTTGATGTATTCTAATATTTCTTTTATACAGCTATCCCTATTAGTGTGTGTAATGAATATCATATTGAAAATTATAATTGTGAAGTGTATGGTAATTGATCCTAGTCCAATGGAAATATGCAATTCAAATTTAAATAATATGATCACTTTATAGGATTCATTATTTGTACTAATCAGGACCTACCTGTATCTAATCACTTTTAGATAAATATACTTCAAAATTATTAGATAATTAAGTTCTGCCAAAATCATTCAGAAAAGCCTACTGTGGTCAGGCAATACAACTATATTTTTAAAACTGAAATATTGCCTTTTCATTATTTTACTTGCCTTTTTCCTTAAGGCACACCCTTCCCTTCAAACTGTTTTCTAGGAGCTGAAAAATAAACTTCCTTCTTCAAGTTGAAAAGAGAAGGGAAAAAGTTACAAGCACAATACTGACAGGGTGGGGTTCTGAAGCATCAGAGAAAACAGCTGCTACACTTGCACAAAAAGCTGCTTTGGTGGATTTTCTTTGCTTTCCTGAGAAAAAAACAAAGTGTTCATGTCTACTGCAGTTGTACGCAAAAAAATGTTGGCTTCCCTTTTTTGAAGGTCAACGGCATTAAGATTCTTAGATACTCTTATTCTCCATGCTGGAGTCCACCTTTTTAGTAATGGTCTCAAAGTTTTAATATTGGTCTCAAAGTTCATTGGCCAGAAAAGACTCGATTGGAACTTCACGCACCTTGGGAATGTGGCTTTAGATCTCACTGACTTGCAGGAGCCTAGACTAAGCCCCAGCCTGAATAATTCCGGTTGCTTTTTACTGTGGTCCTGCTGCTGCTATAGTGGTTCTATTGCCGAAACTTCTCTGTTCTTCTAATTCCGTGACCAGAGAGGGGTGGCCTTTACATCTCTAACCACAGAACAAGTCTGATACATTAAACAAGCCACCAACAAAGTGTGAAAAACACCAAATTTGCCACTTGTGTGCCAGTTGGGAGATCCTGAACAGAAATCCATGAAGTTTGTGGAATTCTCAGAGTAGGTAGGAGCAATTAAGCTCTTGCTTACTACGTGGTCCTGGCTTGGTTTCTTTCCTATAGCTAGAGAAAGTATAAAGAAAAGTCCTTATCATCAAGCTACAGGGTCAGATTAATATTCCTTTCTTTTAGAGTGCATTTTGGTCCTTTCCCTCAGGGAGTTCACAAACAGTTTGACATGGCTGCAAGTGACCATAATCCCGAAATGGGTAGGTGACTGATAACGAGTGGTATCACTTTGGCTTTTTAGTTTTCAAAATGTTTTACACATGTAACCCCAGTTTCAAACCATTGGTAGGAGACTCTCTCCTTGTTGGTGGAGATCAATGCTCTATGGCTATAAGAGGGACAGGGCAGAATTGGTGAGAACAGAAGAGAAGAGGGATCTGGTCTCTTGAGTATCTTTGAGTTCTGGTATTATAATCTCTCTTCAGACACATGAAAAAACCAGGGAAGCCTGGGGAAAGCTAGGGTTTGCCCCGTGGGCCACATGCACCACCCCTTACTATATATCTGTTATTTCATTTGTTCCTCACAACAACCCTGGGAGGTAGGTGCTATTATTACCCCTCATTTTACAGATGATGAAACTGAGGTGAATAGAGGTTAGGTGGTTTGCCCAGGGTCACACATACAAGTGACTGAGGAAGGATTTGAACTTGGGTCTTCCTGAATGCAAATCCAGCGCTCCATGCATGATGCTTCCTAGGTGCCGTGTATGTAACATGTAAGGCAGCCACAGCTGTGAACATAAATAGAAACATGCCCAAATACCTCTTAGTGTGTTTGGCATAATTAGCCTTTGTCAGTCCATGAACGTAAAAGAAGAGATACTAAGACAGCCATTCTGATGGGGATGGCATCTGAACCCTAAAAGGAAAAGACCATGTCTTTGAGATCTGGACCCCAAAAAGGAAAAGCCCTGGTGTTTGTCTGGGGCACCTGGCCCTTCCCAGTTAACCTTTTCAACTGCCCTTTCATTGTGTCCCTCACTGTCTGCACCTGGCCGTACCCTAGATTGCCACTCCTCGATTTCATCTAGACCCCTTCCATGTGGCCCAGATCTCTGGCGTTCCACCGGGGGCACCCAGCACTTCTGGGTCCTTCTCATCACCTCCAGATTACTTGGCCACTCCTAAATTCTTCTTATAGTCTTACTGTATATAAGGTCCATCTTGCGCTCCCCCCCCCCATTAAATCACTCAGATTCCTTAAGAATCTGTCCCTGTTGTATTGGCATCACAAAGGCTCAGATTCCTTAACAGTCTCATTCATTTAATACAAGGGTCACAATGCTCGGGTTCTTAAAATCTTGCTCACCCTGACCAGTGTTCTAATAAACCTTGTCTTTGTCTGAAAGAAGGCTTGTGTTGAATTCATTTGAGTCAGGACTTGCATTGCTCGCCCTTGAATTTTGGGTTCCCAGCACCCTAGACCACAACAATTCTACCCCAAAGAAGTTCCTATAAGGATTCCAAAGTTCCCTCACCTCTATTTAGTTGGCCATGGAAGTTTTTCGGAGTCCAACTAGCCAAAATCATGCTGATGTTTGAATTTTTTTTTACCATATATTTAACTATAGAGAACAAAAATAGCATTCTTTTTATTTCAAATCTGTAAGAGACATTTGATTAATACATGCATATACACAAAATACAAATATGCACATGCAAGCACACATGCACATAAAGATATATGTACATATACATACATACTATGATAAACAAGTATTGCTGCTTAGATGGAAATTCAAATCACTGCTAAATGAAATTTTCCCAACTCAGGCATACAGTATTCAGAAATAAAGACAAAAACTTCACAGTTAAGATTAAGCAAGGGTAAAGAATATAGGCTAATAGTCTTTGATGAACCAACTAGAACAATAATAACTCAAAACATCAGTGTATTTAATGTCAGAATATATATTAAATTACATTAAATTAATTAAAATGAAATTAATATACATTACAATGTCAGAATCATTTTCCTAAATCATTCAGGAGTGAAGAAAGGAGGAATGATTTTAATTGGATTAATCAGTTTATCAATTCTATGCTTCTCTGTGTTATCACTTTGTTTTCTGGGAGATCAAAGTTCTTACCTGAACTTTGACTTAGGACTTTGTTAGGGCTTTCAAACTGATGAATTTCAGGCTAGGACAGTGTCTCCTGGGCATTTGATTAAGTACTGACAAGGTTTATTCCATTCAAATGAAGGCTTCAGACTAGGACACAGAAATTAAGATTTCTTAATATTTCTGAAAGCAGGATTGTTGTTCAGTCATCTCAAACTCTTCATGACTCTTTTTGGGGTTTTCTTGGCAAAGATAGTGGAGTGGTTTGCCATCTCCTTTTCCAGCTCATTATGCAGATGAGGAAACAGAGACAAACAGGATTAAGCGACTTGCCCAGGGTCACATAATTAGTAAGCATCAGAGGCCAGATTTGAACTCAAGAAGATGAGTCTTCCAACTCCAGAAGACTCATGATGGAAAATGCTATCCACATCCAAAAAAATAACTATGGAGTCTGAATGCAGATCAAAGCTCCGCTCTCTCTTTCTCTTTTTGGTTTTTTTGTTTGTTTGTTTCTTCTTTCTTGTGGTTCCTGCCTTTGGTTCTAATTCTTTACAACATGACTAATGTGAAAATATGTTTAATGTGAATGTATATGAATGTTTAATATGAATAGACCCTATATCAGATTGCGCACCATCTCAAAGTCTTATGGAAGTTAACGTTGAAAACTAAAAAAAATAAAAAAGATGAATCTTCCTGCCTTCAGGCCTGGCCCTCTATCCACTATATGCCTGGCAAAAGCAGAATTAAGGGGAGCATTAGTATGTTCCCACAGACTTCTCTTGTGATAGTATGGTGAAAAGAAATAATTGAACCTGATAAATCTTACGTGTGGTTGTGAATGAATAAAGAGTATTCTGGTTTAGCAAACAAAACAATATTAATTTTATTATGATTTGTAACATTTTCTTTGAATTTTCTTGAACCAGACTAAGGAGAAAATCAACACGATAAATAGACAATATATTAATCTTGCTTTGGTGGTTGAAAATAATTCCAAAATCAAAATATAATCGATACTGCCACATTTTTACAAGCCTACCCATTATATCAATACTGTTCTTATTATCATTATTCTTGTTGTAAAAATGAAAACAATTTTCTCAGTAAAAAAGTTTTTCATGTTTATATTATGACTGATTTGTTTTATAAAAATTATAATCTATACCAAGTATGGAACGTGAATTATAAATTATATAAAAATGTATACTTATCAATCAGCATTGCTTATGTAATTATACTTGTTATACAATTATTAATAACTATTATATAATTACATTTTATAAATATGAATTATACAAATCATTTTCTAAAATGCGTATGGGGGTGTGTGAGGTTTTTTTGTTTGTTTTTTGTTTGTGGTAAAAAGTGGAACATTAATACATTGGAAACCACTAGTGTTACTCAACCTACTCCAGGGACATCTCACTTTGGCTTTTGACTGCTGTTTGACCTTAATCAATAAGCATTTATTAAGCTCTTTCTATGTGTCAAGCACTGAATTAATTATCTGAGGATACTAACATAAAGCAAAACAGTCCCAGAAGGAGTGTATATTCCATTGGGGGAAACCATGTACACACATATCAATGTAACATAGGTAAAAAGAAAATGCAAGATAACTTTTTTTGGGGGGACGCTGGAAGAATCAGGAAAGGCCTTATATAGGATGTGGGAAAGGGGGAGGAAACAAGCATTTATGAAGTGTCTACTCTGTAAGCACTCTGCTAAGCATTTTTCAAATATTACCTCATTTGATCCTCACAACAACCCTCAGAGGTAGGTGCTCTTAATATCCCCATTCTACAGTTGAGGAACTGAGGCAAAGGGGGGCTAAGTGACTTGACCAGGGTCATACAGCTAGTAAACATCTAAGGCTGGATTTGAACCTCAGGTTGTTGACGCAGCTTTCTGGTGCCCTTAGTATAAAGGCCAGTGTGTGTAGTTACCTGGCTCCCCACTCAGGCTTCAGACCAGCATCTAGACCAAGAGAAGCATGGGAAAGTTGCATTGACATGAATCAAGGGTGTGTACTCGCTCTATTCTGGCTAAGTAAGCATCTTTTTGTTCATTGTTAGATAGTGTAGGAATGTTGGTGGTAGTTGACACTATTGGATTAGAATGATTTCAGAGAAAGTGGGGGAAGGGGACTTGATGCAAAGGAAGGTGAATCAGCCACTGTCCTATTCCTTTTTAAATGAAATTTTTCTTAGCTTTGTTTTCTTCCTTCATTCTCTTTCCTTCTTACCGATTCTGAATTTTTTACTCTCTGCTTCATGTGCTATGATAGACTTATTTATTCCTTCTTTAAGCTTTTCATATTTCTCATGGGATTAAAACTTCTGAGGCATATTATTTGAACTTCATTTTCTCATAAATTTCTGATAGAGATTTCATCCAGTCACACCTTTTCTCTGCCTCACTCTTACAAGTATTAATTTGTGGTGGAAATAATGTTGGATACAAGCAGCATCAAATTCCACCTCATTCCCTCCCCATGATTATTATCTCCCAATAGACATACCATCTCATCTCTGGGTACATGTTCACTCTTTTTCTTTTTCTTTTTTTTTTTTTGGCTAGGCAATGGGATTAAGTGACTTGCCCAGGGTCATACAGCTAGTAAGTGTTATGTGTCTGAGGCCGGATTTGAACTCAGGTCCTCCTGAATCCAGGGCTGGTGTTCTATCCACTGTGCCACCTAGCTGCCCCTACATGTTCACTCTTAACAGGGTAGCAGATGCACCTAGGAGTTTGTATATCCTTTACTCTGGGCCAGAATGTTATCTATGTAGGGAAAATATTCTTTCACAGAAAGTAGTCACCCAAAATATCAACCCTTCCTACCTGTCCAAGACTAAATCCATCATGAGATATTTGTTTTCTATTTCAGGAACTAACATCTTCACCCATAAGAGTGCTTTTCCATTGAACCTTTTCTCCCTTTGGGTTGAGACTTCCCTTTCCATCCCCCAGACTTAATCCCTACCTAATGCTGCTTCACCCTTTCTCCTTCAACCCTCCTCCTCTCCCTTTTGCCAAGGAATTTAGAGGAAGCGTCATTCATTTGCTGTCCACCCTTGGCTATGTTAGTCATTCCCCTCTGTCTTTGTCCATATTTCTTCATTTCTCTTCTCCTTTTACTTCCCCTATGTTGAAAGTTTCGATTATATCTTTATGGCTAGACAATCACCAGAACAATAAATCAATCTCTGATTTGCAGTATTTGCTCATTTGCAAGGTGTAAATATTCATGCTGAAAATTTAACAATTAGCTCTCCGAACCAGTTTGAGCTGGCTGTTTGTTTCCCAGGCTTCCCTAGGAAACCCAGAGTATCATGTCTAGATCACTTTAGACTTAATTAAAAGGAGCCTGATTTTCCTAGCTCTTCTGTCAAAATTCAAAGCAGTAATGCATATCAGATGCTTTATTTTACCCAACAGAAAGAATCTAGAAAAATGCAAGGTAATTACAGAAGCCCATAATAAGAAAGATACTGTCCTCTATGGTGAATGACACTTTCCACCCCAGGGACCAAACAAACTTGCAACCTCATAATATTTCCGTAAGGTTTTGAACTCCATCAAAAAAGGAAATATACTTGGGGCTGCTAAAGAGCAACTGTCTTCCCATCTGGCCTATACTATCCAAATAATTTAGGGAAGACTCTGGTTTGCTGCTCTGTGCCTCAGTCCCTTCATTCTCTAGCTCTAGGGACATGTGTTCTTCTCTTGAAAACACTTGGACCTGGGCTCTTTAACCATTTCATCATTGCCTGTGGCTTCTGCTATTTTTTTTTTAAGCAGTTGGGGTTAAGTGACTTGCCCAGGGTCAGACTAAAGTTAGTGAGTGTCAAGTGTTTGGTCTGCAGCTGGTTTTGAACTCAGGCCCTCCTGACTTCAGCGCCGGTGCTCTATCCACTGTACCACCTAGCTGCCTCTGGCTTCTGCTATTTTTTGGTCTAGCCAGCTTCTCCTCTCAGGTAGTCTGTGTTCTGGAACTCTTGAAATTCCTCTAGACAGCAGGATCCAGACATTCTCACTAATTACTATTGCTTCCAACTACTGCGGACATACAGTCATAAAGGTAACAGCCATGTATGAAGCTCTCCCAGTCTGGGCTTAGTCACCAAATACATGAGTTCAGAGCAAAAGTGTCCCTTATTGGAGAATGATGGAGTGGTGCCCTGGTTCCGTGGGCTCAACCAGCGTTATAATTCGCAATTCTTTTGCTGTAATGCATGTATTTATTTCTAGCTTCTTAGAAGTGCTACTTTAAACATTATTTTGTACAAAGTTATAAATAATGGTTGAGTTTATCATACTATTAGTTATATGGTTCAAGTATGTTATGGATTAAATAGGCTTTTGTGGACTGACCTGGGAACCTAAGTACTGTTTGCAATTTTGTTTCTCTGAGAAAATGTTTTTCAGTCAGATTACAAACTTTTACAGCTAATCCTTTTGTGTAATGGGGACTGTGTGTTAGAGATTTTTTAAATAATTTTATACTTTTTATTCCTACATCTCAACTCTTTTTTTTTTTTTGGCTAGGCAATGGGGTTAAGTGACTTGCCCAGGGTCACACAGCTAGTTAAGTATCAAGCGTCTGAGGCCAGATTTGAACTCAGGTCCTCCTGACCCCAGGGCCAGTGCTTTATCCACTGCACCACCTAACTGCCCCTGTGTATCTCAACTTTTGTAGCTGTTGGCTACATTTACCAACTTTAGTAGAAATATTGTCATAATTGTATTGCATGTAGTATGAAAGTAAAAGCATGTGGAGACCCTACCTGGATGTTAGAAATAAATATATAGTGCAAACTGCTGTCATAGGACATGTAAAAATGATTTTTACTTTTGGTTATTCTGTATTTACAAAGAGCAATTAATGTGAACATTTCTATATTCAAAGAATAACAGAAAAGGAGGGTTGTATATGAAAGCATGAATCTCTATGACTTTTTTTAAAAAAAGTATTTCAATTTTATGTAAACAAAATTGTCCATTTTATCTTCTATGGTGTCCTCTATCCCTTCTTTGGTTAAGAATTCTATCTGTAGATGTGAAAGGTATCTTCATCCTTTTCTTCTAATTTGCTTAATATGTTACTTTTAATATCAAAGTCATATATCTGCTTAGAACTT